ATATTATTAAAAAAAATCAGTACAAGGTCTGTAGTGGCGCCATATTTACAAGTGGAATACCCAAGTAAAGAAAACTTTCTCCTCGGCCCTAACAAGATCCTAGGACATCTAGAATTGAAACTATATCTTCTGTGAAGATTTGTTTACACCAAAAGCAAAAAAGCAAAAAAGCAAAAAAGCAAAACACAATTAAGCTTGATCTTAGTTACTTCTCTCATCAAAACATCTGGAGTTCCTCTCTTTCCATATCATCCACCAAATACATGCTAGGACTGTTCACCATCTGTCTCTGTCTCTTGCTCCAGTTCCCGCTTCATCCCAACTGAAAAGAACTTCAGTAATCTTACTAGGCATTGTCCAAGCTATGCCCCTGAGGTTAATAAATATCTTCCATAACTGGTCAGTTATCTTACAATGTAAAAATAGATGCCTAACTGTCTCAACATCTTCTCCACATAAGTGACATCTGGAGCACAATTGAATTCCTCTCTTTATAAGAGTGTCTTGCGTCAGAACAGCCTCCTTTGCTAGTAACCAAGAAAAACACGCTACCTTATATGGAATCTTTGTTTTCCATATATGCTTCCAAGGCTAGTTGTTAATCTGCATGTTAGCTTGGTTCGGTATCTTGTATGCTGCATTCGCCTTATAAAAACCACTTTTATGTCCTTGCCACATTAGTGTGTCCACCCCACTCTGTAAATCTATGAATCTTTCCAGGTGTTTGTAGAATTCCATCATTCTGTCCACCTCCCAATCATTTAAGCTTCTTCTAAAAACAAGTGCCCATCCTTGAGGGGACCACATTTCAGCCACAGTGTTATGTTGATGTTGTGCCAGAACAAACATATGGGAAAGAGATCCTTTAAGCAACCATCTCCCAGCCAGTTATCTTTCCAGAAGGAGGTTTTATTGCCATCTTGCACTTTAATGGATGAGTTGTTCTTTAGAATAGGCCAGAGTGACCTGATGGATCTCCATAAGCTAACTCCATATGCTGTATTTACTTCCTTTGTTGTCCAATTGTCTTCCTCACCATATTTGGCTTTGATCACATTACCCCATAATGCTTGAGGCTCTTGTGAATACCTCCATAGCCATTTCATCTTGAGGGCCTTGCTATGATCCTTCAAATTCCTGATGCCTAGTCCACCATGAACTCTGCCAACTTGCTTCTCACTAATCTTGATCTGAATCTGTGTACAATTGCCATTACAAGTGAATCTTCAGTTAAGTGTAAAGTGAATACAGTAAGGGATTGTTAGATTTGAAAACTCAATACTTATTACACATATTTCACAGATTTAACATATATAACATCAAACACACAACCATTGTTTAAAATATCAGCTGCTTATGACAGATGCAAGGAGCGAATTTCTATTTCATTTACCTAATTTGGCAACAGATTCTATAACCAACTGTCCCAAAATTTTGAATTGAGACCTCATCGCCACATTATTTGGCTGAAGTACACAAGGTACACTCAAACATTAAGTTACAATTGTGGAAAGCCCTTGAAAGTGAATATAACAAAAATGAATTATTTCATTTCTACTTCAGTAAAGGTGCAGAATATTCTTTGTTTCACACTAACAGTACAAAAAATTTCACAATAAGTATTGTTTCACATTGCTTCTCTTACATAAGTGGATCTTGAACTTTACTAGCCATTTTTTAGTCTGCACTTCCAGGTTGCGTCCTTTTCTATTTGGCTAATGATTCATGCATTGCAAAATGAAAATATGAATGAACGAGTTCAATACAAATACTAAGATGTAATAGACCTTATGAACTTTGCGAGTTGCATATCTTATTATACTCGAACAATATAGCAGTTATGCACAAAACTAATATCACACTCCACATGACAATTCTCATCTAATGGTTTAACACAGTTCATAGATTAGCCAAACATATAATGGATGTTGAAATTTCATTGTAGATTATTTTACTTACCCCTTGTATCAACGGCATAAACTTTAAGCATGTCGCTTCCTGAACACTCTAATTGCTCTCTCTGGATCCGGTCAGCAGATGTCACAACGGAAGGAGAACATCCCTGTAACATAATTAGTTTCAGAGTCATACTATCTGCAAATCCTTGAGGAATCTCTTTTAAGTGACGGCAATTTTTGATAATTACATGCTCAAGGCATGGGAAATAATCATCAGTGGCTCTCCAATAATCAAGAATCAACTTCTCAAGGAGCAAGAATTTCAATTCGGGAAATCCCATCTCTGTTACTTCCCAGACTCTCTCTCCCACAGACAAACTACGTGCAAAGTCATCTTCCTTCAATTGGAGCACCTCGAGTTTGGGCAACTTGCTAATGATCGTCATGTCCTCCCATGAGAGCCGAGTACCACAAAGTGTCAACTTCTTGAGATTTGGTGGGAAAGAACCTGGACATGGAAGCCTGAAATCTGAATAAACATAACCATAGTAGGATGACGACGCAATACTTAGTGTCTCAAGCTCATGTAAATAGTTAAGATTAGCTAGCCATTCAGACTCGGTATAACTGTTGCAAGAAATCCCCAATTTTTTCACTTTCTTAATCCCTTTAAATATTCCTTTCGTGCAACAAGAAGAACTCAACCCACAAACACTTTGCAAGTTTTCCAAAATCGGGTACTCAACTTCATTAGGAGATACATTCCGAGGAGGGTACAAAAAGATCCTTGAACAATTGAGATTCCTTAATTGAGACAGGTCCCAAATTCCATCACGTAAATTTATAAACCCCTTCCGCGATGTAGTAAATATAACAAGAGTTTGTAAATTCTGAAGATTGGAAATCGGTATATGTTCAGAGATCTCATCGATCTTCATAACCAAATACCTTAAACAAACTAGGCGTAATATTTCACCAGGGAAACCATATTGGAATTCCGTGGCCTCCAAGTCCAATACTCTAAGAAGTTTGAAATGCTCCAGTTGTAGATTATAAACTGGATCAGCATAAAAATGAATGGAACGCGTTTTGTTATAACTAAGAGCACTGAAAAGGGTAGGATAATAACCTCCCGCTAAATGAAGTGACACCCACCTACGACCTTGAGGAAAATACCGTCTTGGTCCTCCATAAGGTACGTCATTTACAACGTACAAAATACTATTGCTTTCAGCTTCTCTCCAGCATAGATCATGAAGAAGATCGTGAATCCTACAAGTCTTGATTTTGCCATCAATACTTCGCCTGCTAACAATGATTAGACTTTTATCAATAAGATCATGTAAAAGATAAGCAGCCACTTTTTCCAATCCCTCAAGCCCCTTTAGCTCGAAGAGTCCTTCCGCAGCCCATAATCTCATCAACTTTTTCACAGAAATGTCGCTAGCTTTCGGGAAAACTCCAAAATACAGAAAGCACGCTTTCAAATGTGAAGGAAGATGATTGTAGCTCAAAGCGAGCACTCCTGAGCAACGTTGATAATCGTCAAGGTTTACTAAGGAGCTCACACTTTCAGCTACTTTCCTCCACTCGCCCAGTGTCCTCTTGCTAGAGAGAGTCCCTGCAATCACAGAAATCATTAGTGGTAACCCTTTGCAGTTTTTTACAACTTCCTTTGCAACATTCTCAAGTTCAATCGGGCAAGCTTTTTTGTCAAATGCCTTTTGGCAAAACAAATTCCAACTTTCCTCTGGATCCAGGAAACGCATCGGAAAAGGATCCTCAGGAAAGCTAGCATATTGAGCAACCTTCATGTCTCGAGTAGTCAATAATATCCGACTTCTATTATTGTATTCTGGAAACCATAGTTTAATCTCATCCCAGGCATCCGTGCTCCATATGTCATCTACAACAATCAAATATCTCCTACCTTTTAAACTTTTTTGCAAGCGATCTGCAAGTGCATTATTGATTTTCTGCACGTGATCTAGTTCTTCATCGCTTTCCTGCAAGTCGTCTGCTTGTTCTTCATCGCTTACCTTATCAAGCTCCACCCCGGCATCTTGAAGGAGGGATAGAAGCATCTTTCTTATACTATAGTCCTTGGACACAGTAACCCATCCACGAACATCAAAGAAGCCCACAACTGAGGGATCAGAAAACACTCTTTTAGCAAAAGTTGACTTGCCTATGCCTCCCATACCAACAATGGAAATGACTTCCAGTTGACGTGAGTCTCCAGTAAGTTGACGCAGCATGCTCGCTTGTTCATCATTGTACCCCACCATGTTATTCTCAAGTGTAGAAACATGAGATTCTGGTGAATTAGAACCACCAAGTGAACTATTTCCTGCTTGCATATTATTATTCTCCCTCTGCTTGAAAAGCTCTTCTTTGATAGAATCAATGGCTTCTATAGCTCGTTGCAAAATCTTAAGAAGCCTTTCATGTGCCTTTGTTGGAAGATGAAAGACTCGTTGCAACATCTTAAGAAGCTTCTTCTGCGCCTCTCTTTGAATGTGTGATTCAACTTTGTCTTCTACTTCATGTGCAAGATCTTTTACCTTTTCTTGCAAATCCTTCATTGATCCGTCATCAGAATTAGTGTCAAGAAACTCTAGCAGAGAGCCAACCTTCTCGTAGAGTAATTTTAAGTGTTCTTTATGACCGTCCTGCAGGTCTAAGTTGGATTGTGAAATCAGGTGTATCGTTCCCATCAGAGAAGTTACTGCAGCATAAGCAGCCATTTCTCTTGTTACTTCTGCAAAGTTTCTTCAGAGATCTATACAGGATTTGCGATTGAAGAAATTTGTTGAAAGTTATCAAAATGATAGAATAGTTTGACAACTACTACTAAGTATATCAATTGAAGTGGTCATTTATTAAATACTACTAATTGTTAATTTTACTGACATAGCATCCTAGAACTTAGCTACATAGCAGTTTTCAATAAAGTTGATACTCCACAGTCCACATAATAAAATAAAATATGACAAATAGTAGTACAAAGTACATAACAGACAATATGGGTGGTCTTTTAAAACAATTGTTTCCTAGGACTTAATTAAATTGCAAGTTGCCATTTAAATATGGCAATGGTCTCCACCTACTGATTTATAATATGCCAAATCAACTTCACCTTTATAAAGTCTCAACAACCAGAGACAGGCCCTGCTCTAGTAAAGATTTATCAAGTAATGCTCAAAAATACATTTGATGATTGCCATGTGTTATCTTATGCACCTATACGACACAAGAGGAGGGTGAATTACGTCGTGACGAGCCTGGTTCTTTATGTGTTTCTTGTAATCGAAAATAAACTACAAAGTGCGAATAAAGCAAAAAATACGAGATTTTTACGTGAAAAAACACTCGACTCAAAAGTGTAAAAACCAAGATCTTGTAAGATTCAACTCAACTCCACTATAACAGCAAGCAAATTCAGATTACAACTCTGTTATGTAAGACTGACTCTAAGCCTCACCCCAACAATCACTCGACTGTTGCACCCCTTCAAGTCAACTCTAACTTGAGGTAAGACGAAGTTAACCCTAAGCCCTTCACCTCTTCAAACTAACTCTAGCTCGAACAGTGTTCTCTACATATTACAACTTCAAATCAAGCTAACGACACTATTGGGAATAGTAGTAACCCATATTTCATCCAAGAGTCACTATTCATCGTCATTTCCAATTATTTATTTCACTTCAAGAACACCAGTTTCTAGGGCTTTCTCAACGATATGATTAAATACATTTTCTACACCAAAATCATCATCCCACAAATGTATTTATACAAAAATAACAAGGTTTGGGTTGTGCGGTTACCTCTTGTAGACCAATCTTGAAAAATCACAACTTTGGTGATTTTGAGTTCTTAAAGATTTGATGACTAAATCTTGGTTTGATGACACACTTGGAGCTAATTTGTGCTATAAATTAGACCCTCTCCCATAAGTTTGCAGAATCCAATAAAAAAGAAGGTGATCTGATCAGCTCTAGTCGACTTCGATCTCAGAAGGTGAAGTTCTTTTTGCTATAACTCTCTTGTCCTGAAGGATTTAGGATTATCAATGTCAAAAATATTACTACTACTATTTTTTCGTTTAACCTCAAACATGAAATAAAACACCATTTTTTCCTTTATAAGGTAAATACTCTATTAATGTTGGGAACAACTCTTGTATGCAAGTAGTATACTGAACACCTATAGCACATCTAACTTGAGCATTCAAATGTTAATTGCATAGTCACATGCTCAAAACAGTACTATTACTTTAAAGGAAAAAGGGTCAAATTGCCTTTTTACTATGTGGAAAGCTCTAGATTTACCCTCCATTATACTGTTCGCATATACCCCTCCTCCATTAGAACTGTCTAATATGGAAGCCCAATCCCACGTTCTGGTGAGGTGAATATCACATGGCATGCCACCTCACTGCACCCAACCCATTTTACCTCCTCCCCTCCCCTACTTCTTCCATAACCAATATCTCCACCCTCTCCTCCACCGGTGCCACCATCTACACCACATAATCAGACCCATGTACATATATAGCAATCTTCATAAGATGAAGACTTCAGAAACAGCCTCTCTACCTACACAAGGTAGGGGTAAGGTCCGAGTACACTGTACCCCTCCCAAACCCCACTTTGTCGGATTACACTGAATTTGTTGTTGTTGTACTTATGACCAGTGGCGAAGCCACATGGTCCTAACGGTGGTCAACTAACCACCTTTCGTCGAAAATTTACACTGTCTATATAGGTAAAATATTACGTTTTAGAGGTATATAACACGTACTGAACACCTTTTGTCGCAAATTTTTTTCACTTCTTTTAAATTTGAAAGCCCTTGAGAAAATTCCTAGTGTCGCCACTGCTTATGACAATCCATTTTGTTGCCATAAGATGAAGACACAATCTCAAAGCAAGAGTAGGCCATATTTCTCTATATATCAGTGTATACGGTCAAAATCAAGAAGTCTGATTTCGAAGCCTTAAATTGGTCTATGAGTCCAAGTCCGGGCGACTCGAGGTAAAGGTCAGACCCGGTTGGAAGACACGCACCTCGGGAAGCAAATCGAAGACCTGGTGCGACCTTCATCGAGGGCAGTACATTCTCGAGGGCAATCAAGAAAGAGCGGGAATTTCTCTAGGACACATGGATCAGGGCATAAATTAAAGGATAAGATTTGTATGAAATTGTACAAGTCCGTACTAGATTATTATACACCTGTACCAATAGAATTCTATACCTCAATTAGGAATGTACTATCTTGGGGTTTTCTCCTCCTATATAAAGGGGACCTCAATCATTATCATTTCACATTATTCATTGCAATAGAATATTCTACTATATTTTTCTTGTTTAACGTGCTCAACAAGTGTTCTTCAGCTTTATTGTTTTTACTTTGTTATTCGTACTTCATTGTTCTTAGCTAACCTCGAGGTCCTCAAGAAAGCCAAGCTCGAGGTCTCCATCGTTATAGCAAGACTGGTTTGGTTCATCAATTCTTCTTATTTAAACTTAATACTACTTGTATATTCACTAGTATTAGAATAAAACATATATCTTTAAAATCACAAACTACATTTAATTGTTACCCTCATTTTTCGAGGTAAACAATTTGGCGCCCTCCGTGGGGCTAAAGATAATAGTGATTGTTTTAGTGCTAGTTTTCTGATAACACACGTTATTCTTTACACTTTTTCTTGTCAAAGATTCTTTGGTTTCAGGCTTAAACATGTCTAGCACATAGAATGCACCTATTCACGAGGACGAAGGTCTTGGAGAAAATAGCGGTATAGGGGTCGGTGTACCACCTATAAACTCTGAAGGAGTGTCAAACGTGGAGCCAGTTAATATCAGTTCGCACAACGCTCTGAACAGGGACACATGCACAGACCCCGCAAGGAACGCACATAGGGAAGCCCGAGCAGGAGGCCAGGAAACGTGAGGGATGGAAGAAGGAGGAGTCAGCCTCCAAGTGATATTCGAGATGCTGCAAGCTCAGCAAGTCGTCATCGCTCAACTTCAGAGTCAGAATAGAACTCCTAATACTGCTGAACCAGTAAACGCCCGGCACGAGCCAGCGCTAGAAAGGCCCGACGAAAGCGGCTCGGGGACTAACACCACAATCATGAAAATGCTCGAAGAACTAACTAAAAGAATCGAGTCAGGAGAAAAGAAGATAGAAGACAACGATAAAAAGGTGGAAACTTATAACTCCCGGGTAGACCAAATACCGGGAGCACCTCTAGTTTTGAAAGGTCTAAATGCCAAAAAATTCATACAAAAACCTTTCCCCTAAGTGCGGCTCTGATGTCCATTCCCAAGAAACTTTGCATGGCTGATATACCAAAATGCAACGGAACAACTGACCCTAACGAACATATTACTTCATACACTTGTGGAATCAAAGGAAATGACTTGAATGACGATGAAATCGAGTCAGTATTATTGAAAATGTTTGGGGAAATACTATCAAAAAAGGCTATGATATGGTATTACAACTTAGCTCCTAACTCAATAGATTCATTTGCTATGTTGGCGGATGCGCTCATGAAAGCACATGTCAGGGTTATAAAGGTGGCCACAAGAAAATCGAACGTCTTCAAAATAAAACAAAGGGATGACGAGATACTAAGGGAGTTCATGTCCCGGTTTCAGATGGAAAGGATGGAATTACCACCGGTCTCCGATGACTGGGCAGTTCAGGCCTTTATGCAAGGTTTTGAACGAAAAAAGCTTGATTGCATCTCGACAGCTGAAGTAGAACTTTATTGAATATCTCGTTGTGATATGGTTAGATGTGCACAATCATTATCAGTCAAAAATTAGGGTCGAGGATGACCAGTTGGGAGCCCCTTCGGGCTCAATTCATCCTAACAGATTTGCAGCCAAGCCCCCCAGGGACTCAAACACAGGGACCAAGATTCAACAAGGAAAGATATCAATTGTACGTCGAAGATAGAAGGAACATATCAAGGCATAATACACCTCAGAATGATCGAAGAGTAGATCGAGGCCAAAATACATGAGGGCTCATGAGAAAAACCGGGTTCGACAGGCGCTCGGGACCTATAGAGGAACTCAAATTGTCAAAATACAACTTTAGTATCGATGCCTCAAGTATCGTATCAGCCATTGGTAAAGTTAAAGATACTAGATAGCCCAAGCCCATATAGACTGATCCTTTTCATATGAATCCCAACTTAATATGTAAGTATCATGGTACTCACGGGCATATGACCAAGGATTATAGGCAGCTTAGGGAGGAGGTAGCCTGGTTGTTCAATGAAGGGCATCTTCATGAATTTCTCAGTGATCGGGCTAAGAACCATTTCCGAGAAAGAGATGCAAATAGGAAGAATGAACTTGAAGAACCTCAACAGGTCATTCACATGATCATCGGTGGAGTCGACGTCCCATAGAGACCCATATTCAAATGTACCAAAGTATCCATCACGAAAGAGAAACGGACTCGGAGCTATGTGCCCGAGGACGCCCTATCGTTCTGTGATGAGAAAGTAGAGGACGTATCTCTGCCTCATAATGATGCCCTAGTAATCTCTATCCTTTTAAATAAAGTTCAAATTAAACGTGTTTTAGTGGATCCATGTAGCTCTGCAAACATAATCAGATCGAGGGTCGTGAAACAACTCGGCCTGCAAAATCGGATTGTACCTGCATCCCGGGTGCTGTATGGTTTCAACATAGCAAGTGAAATAACAAAGGGAGAAATTATTTTGCCAGTAAACATAGCCGGGACCATACAAGACACCAGGTTCCATGTCATCGAAGGCGATATGAGGTATAATGCACTCCTCGGAAGGCCATGGATACACAACATGAGGGCAGTGTTTTCGACCCTCCATCAGATGATAAAGTTCCCGACAAAGGAATGAATGAAAATAGTCTATAGAGAACAGCATGCTGCAAAAGAGATGTTTGCGATCGAGGAAGTGGTGCCGATGTCGGAACCCTTGACCTCGGAGAAGTCGAACCTCAAAGATAAAACAGATGGCTAAATAGCAATCACAACTCCAAGTGTAGACGGAAGTAGGATAAGCAGGTAACCAAAGGTGAAGAAGGGAACTCCCTAGCTCCTCAAACCTCTGCAGTCCCCGAGAAGTCTGATGGTACCAAGTCAATTGCTCAAAAGAAAGGTTTACATGGGAACGGGATTAACTCCCGAACTCAGGAAAAAACTCATTTAGTTTATTATTGATGATATAAACTGCGTTGCTCGGACCCATTTAGATATGGTAGGAATTCGGCCTTAAATCACCACACATAGACTGAGCAACTACCCCAGGTTTAAACCAGTAAAACAAAAAAAGAGGCCCTCAGTTCGAAAAACTTCGTATCAACATCCAGTCGATAGGATGTGCTAAGAACAAACAGGTAAAATAACAAAAGCCTATATTGATGATATGATTGGTTACAAACAGTCAACATTTCGGGGTGACGCGAGACGAATCTCAAACGTGCCTTTAGTGTTGGCATGAGTGAATTTATCAGCCTCATGGTATCAAATCAAGGCATTAAGAATCATTCCCGAAGATACCATGATCACGGATAGCAAGGCCTTGGAGTCATTGATAAAGGATCTTACAAGCTCGGCACGGTAGGGGCTTTTAAAGCTCGCGATCTCGAAGACACCCCTTCTTACACGAAGGCCGTAGGTTTTAAAGCATGTGTTGCACTCTTTTTTCCTTGGCTCGGATTTTGTCCCAAATGGGTTTTACCAGCAAGGTTTTTAACGAGGAAACACCTATATGCTACCTAAGGAACATTCAACAAGTATTCGAGGCTTCTTTTCGATCAACCTCGAATACTAGGGGCATCACCCTCGGAGGACACATTTTTAAGAAAGATACTTCACGCCTAAGGGGGTCCTCGATAGGAGAACTTTGTAATGGGCCAAACGGTCGAATGAACTGTGTCCATTTAGAATAGTCGAGCCCCAATGGCAAAACATGTACGCATATATCACCTGTTTTAAAAAGGCATTCTGGTTATATTAAAAACATTTTGTATCTCATACGAGCTCTACACTTACAATCCTACGGGAAGCGGCTCAAGGACCAAAGCACCCCGAAATACCCGAGGACTGTCATCGACGGTCAATAAATTCGAGTCATCAAAAATTCAAACTCATAAGACCTCAAAGAGACACCCCCTCGAAACAAAGGCCAAAGCCAATATCCTCGGGGACTAAATTTTCGAACAAGTTCGGAAAGTTATCGGGAAACAAGTCCAAGTGACGTACCCAAAGGCTACGACCATATAAAATACTTCGGTTATATAAAGGCTACGACCAAAATAACGCGGTTCAGATACGTCCGACTTCCGCTATAAATTAAAGGCCTTCAACTATTAAAAGATCAGTTAAATCAGGCTACCTTCGGCAAAAGCAGAATATGAAGGGCTTCGATAAATTTAGCCCCCGAAAAATCTAAGGGCTCCGATAAATTAGCCCTCGACTGATCTAAAGGCTTTGGTAACACCCGCCTTCGAAAAAACCTTTAGAGGTATTCGATTATGCTTACGCAAACGAAATGAATAAATAATGTTCCGATACGTCGAGCCTTCAAAAAACTCAATGGGTACAAAAACACATGCTAAGGCATAACTAAAAATTCACTAAGTCTTTTAGCCGAAATGAAGGAAAAACATAGCCATTCTAGAGGCTGAAACGACCCAATATAAAGAGCCTAAGGGCCAACTTAAAAGAGCCTAAGGGCCGATATATAAGAGCCTAAGGGCCAACCTTAAAAGAGCCTAAGGGCCGATAAATAAGAGCCTAAGAGCCAACTTCGAATGGCTTAAGAGCCAAAAACTTATAGTTTGAGACTCCGCTCTCACTTCGATCCAAACTCAAGGTTCACAATATCCCGAGTTTACATCGGATCGATTTAAACTTAGCTTGAAAATTATTATATCTATCGATAAAGATCTAAGGGTTTGGTAACACCCCGAACCCTAAACCAATCCTCGAATTAATCATTCAAATGAAGTCTTCCATAAATAAAGACAATGTTAAATCCAGCACAAACCAAAGACAAGATAAAAGTTCCACTCGTATTTTCAAAAGATGATTACAGGAAATATTTACATAAGGAAGGCTTACAAGGAAACAAAATAAAGTGACCTAAAACTACTTCGGGATCACATCCTTGGTAGCCGCATCTTCAGGAGTGCATCTTCAAGAGCCTCACCCTCAGGGACTTCATTCCCATCTCTTTCACTCTTAGAGACACCGGCTGAATCATCCTCATGGGAAAGCAAAACGGCCGCCTCTTCTTCCAAAATCTTCTCCGCTTCAACATCGGCCGAAAG